ACTCTACCACTTGAGCCACAGTGCCACTTCCAGTTTTCTGAGTGGCTAATTGGAGATGAGAGTCTCACGGCCTTTCCTGCCTGGGCCGGCTTTGAACCTCGACCCTTAGATCTCAGTCTCCTGAATAGCTAGGATTGCAGACGTGAGCCACCATGCCTGGCATGGATTTTTTTTCTCCTCACACTGAAAATGCTGGTACTTCTGGTGAAAGAGGAGGAAGCGAACAAGGCATCAGAAGGATCAAAGTTTCTTCCCACTTTTGTAGAGAGTCTCAGGCAGCACTGGTCTGCTTGAGGAGACCAGCAGAGCCCCCGTTGCCAGCCTAGGTGGGAAAGAGACTTTACCTGCTGCTGCTTTGGCTCTCAGGTTCTTGTCCATATTATCCTTAGACCAAGGATGCCCTTCTCAAAATCTTAGAGGATATGAGAGAGGAAGACTTCTTGAATTTCATCCTGTTCAGTGGAGATGTGACCACTTGGAAAGACCACTTAATCCAAGCCACTCCAGAGAACCTGAAGGAGGCCAAGACATTTGTGAAGAACATTCATGACCAGGGAAGTAAGAACAGAGGGAAGAGCAGACACTACCCTTCAGTCGCCCCCTCTCCACAGGCAGCCTGTCTCCCTCCTCAATTATGTGCCAGTTCTATACATATGTACATACTAGCAAATACAGGCAGATGGGGACTTAGGCACATGAGCAAGACCTGTTGTCTACTCTGACATCCTTATATCCTGAGGACCCCCTCCCACAGTGCTGCCTTTCTGTCTCTGTCACAGTGACCAACATCAATGATGGACTGCTGAGAGGTATCAGTATGCTGAACACAGGCCAGGAAGAACACCTTGTCCCTGAGCGGAGCACCTCCATTCTCATCATGTTGACTGATGGTGATGCTAACGTCGGTGAGTGGGGAGGCAGTTCTGAACCACACTGAGGGTCTGGTTGCTACCCTGGCTGCCTTCCTAGCTCTGAAGCTGGCTCACTGCAAGATTTCAAGCAGTTCTTCCCAGAGGGTCCTACTTCCTGTGAGCCCCTGCAGGACAGGGTCCTGCCCTCTGCCCCCACTAACAATCTGCACTAGCTGCCCTGGCAAGAGCTTGGTGCCAACTCCACCAGCTGTGCATGTGCAGGAGTTGGACTTCCCTAGACAATCCCCAGCACAAATACTCCCTGCTCTTCTGTAGGAGAGAGCAGACCTGAAAAGATCCAGGAGAATGTACGGAATGCTATTGGAGGCAAATTCCCCTTGTATAACCTGGGCTTTGGCAACAACTTGAACTATAATTTCCTGGAGAGGATGGCCCTGGAGAACCGTGGACTTGCTCGGCATATTTATGAAGACTCTGATGCTCACTTGCAGTTGCAGGTACACCTTGCTCTGTGCACTTCCAGGAATGAGGAGCTCACTGCTTCTTCAGGCAGCTAGACCACTGTGTAATAGCTTGAGGCGTTAGAAAGATTTGGGGTTTCGAAAGACTTAGAGTGGAAATCTACCTCTGGCTGCCTCTTGTTACGATTTAGTCCTTGTACTACACAGAACAGACTTGTTTCCTCGGTAGGGTTGCCAGGGTTAAGTACATGACAGTTCGATAAATATGAAATCCTTATAAGCAATATTGCATAAGATATTGAATTAGTTTACGAATTCTGCCACATTACCAGGGACTGGGTGGGTTAAATAACAGGAATCACTGTCTCACTATTCTGGAGGTTGCAAGTCCAAGTTCAAGATCAAGATGTTGGTGGGTTGCTTCCCCTCTGAGGGTGGGGACCTTCTTGGCTTGTCCATGGCGTCTTCGCCCTGTGCCGTCTGTCATTCCTCATTGTGTGACTGTATTCAGTTTCCCTCTTATATAAGGCTACAAGTCATACTGGATCAGGGCCCACCTTAATGACCTCACTGGATTATCTTTGTAAAAATTCTACCTCCAAATACGGTCACATTTGGAGGAGCTGAGGATTAGGACAACAACAGACACTTTAGGAATGCAGTACACAATTCAACCCATAACAGACATATTTACACTTAAAAAAAATTTGTTTTGGGGGGGGGGTGCCAGTGGCTCATGCTGTAATACTAGCTACCCAGGAGGCTGAGATCTGAGGACCACAGTTCAAAGCCAGCCCAGGCAGGAAAGTCTGTGAGACTCTTATCTCTAATTAACCACAGCTCAAGGGGTAGAGTGCTAGTCTTGAGCAAAAAGGAGTGCAGGACCAGCACCCAGGTCCAGATTCAAGCCTCAGGCCAAAAAAAAAAAAAAGCTTTTTAAAAAGCTGATATTAAAACTTAAATATGCCTGTTCTTTTGATCTTTTTGGGGGGGCGGGGGGAGTTCGTGGGGCTTGAATTCTGGGCCTGGGCGCTGTCCCTCAGCTCTTCAGCTCAAGGCTAGTGCTCTACCACTTGAGCCACAGCGCCACTTCCGGCTTTTTTTTTTTTTTGCTTATGTGGTGCTGAGGAATCGAACCCAGGGCCTCATGCATGCGAGGCAAGCGCTCTACCACTGAGCCACCTTCCCAGCCCCTTCTTTTGATCTGTTTCCCTAGACAGGAAACAGTATCTCCACCTCTGCAAGTGGGCCCTTATGCCTTCCTCCTCTCTGTCCAACTCAGATCCCCAGGATTTTTATCCCTTTCTTTTCTTCTTCTTGTTACTTCAACAATCATTTCTCAAATATTTTTATAAAACTCTGCCAAGAACTCTGTCTTATTATAGTCTTCCTACAGAGATAGGTCAGGAAAAACTTCCCTAGAATGAAGGGCACTGTTAGGGCTGTGCTGAAGAGTCAGGAGGTAGTACTACCCAGACCCGAGGCTTTGACTGAGATGACCAGATCTCTAATCTGAACTCCAGGGCTTCTATGATGAGGTGGCTAACCCGCTGCTGACAGGCGTGGAGGTGGAATATCCTGAGAATGCCATACTGGACCTCACCCAGAACAGTTACCATCACTTCTATGACGGCTCTGAAATCGTGGTAGCTGGACGTCTGGTGGATGAGAATATTAACAGCTTTAAGGCAGATGTGAAGGGCCATGGGGTAAGAGAACTGGGCCTGGGGAATGAAAAGCCCGCCTAATAAGCCCTAACCTTCAGGCATCATGATGGTCCAGTAGTGGCAGCCCCTGATTCTGGCCCACCGAGACCCAGACGCTAACCATTGTCTGTCCCCACTCCTGCCTAGGCTATCAATGACCTGACCTTCACAGAGGAGGTGGATATGAAGGAGATGGAGGAGGCCTTGAAGGAACAAGACTACATTTTTGGGAACTACATCGAAAGGCTCTGGGCCTATCTCACCATTGAGCAGCTACTGGAGAAAAGGTGACCTGGCTCACCTCTCGCATTGCAGGGCCTTACCCTGGGTACCTGGCTCTGCCAGCACCACACCTGTACCTGCCTTTGTGCTGGTGTGCTCTGAGGGAAGCCAAGAGGAATAAGGCTTGGCCACACCCAAGGGAAGGGAACCTCCACACCCATCCTTACTGCTCTACTATGTTCTTGGCTCAGCCAAAGAAATGCTTATCTGTATCCCAATACAGAAAAGCTCCCAGCATAGAATCTCGCACATGCTGGGCACCAGGCACATAGATACTATCATGAACAATTGTTGAACATCTATTTCAAGCCCTTTATATCCTAGAGGTGGGGAAATAAGGCCAGAGAGGAAACAGAGTTTATCTATATGTCCCAGGGAGCTGGTGGTGATCCAGTCTTTTCTGAGCCTCAATCTGGAGCCCCAGCAACAAGGAGCTACCTCTAGGGATCTTGTACTGTTTGAGAAGCTAGTACAGGGAGGGCAGGGATGTTTTGTGTAAACTCTCTTTGAGCAGTCTATCCTCACAGCAAGAAGGCCCATGGTGATGAGAAGGAGAACCTCACAGCTCAGGCCCTGGAACTGTCTCTCAAGTACCACTTTGTGACTCCACTGACATCGATGGTGGTGACCAAGCCTGAGGACAATGAGGATCAGACAGCCATTGCAGACAAGCCTGGGGAAGGTAGGAATAGAGACACTGAGCCTTGGGTGCCCAGCAGAGCAGGTGGCCAGGCTGGGGAGACCACACCTCCAGAAGCGGGACATGTCCAAGAGCATTAGAAGGAAAGTTGGCCAAAGGATAGGGAAGGGAGCGTGCCAGCAGTGAAACAGTCAGCAATGATTGGGGTGTAGGGTGAACAGGAACCTCTGGAGTCCCTCAGGGAAGATGAGCTCATATGGTACACTCTTGAAGGGCATTTTAAGGAAGTGATTTTAGTTGCAATATCAGAAGGGTTTTGTTAGGCAAGAAGAAGCACTTCCAACTGAAAGTTATGCCTGGAGAAGTCTACTGGGTACCTTGAGAGCTGGACACAGAGACCAAGTCTGTATAACCAGGCCTCCAGATTGTACTCAGCAAGGGGAGAGGGTCTCAATGCCTGGTTGTGCAGGGGGGAGGGGGAGTTGGACACAAAGAGGCATGGGAGGTGAAGAAGTGGTCCAGGCAGCAGGCTCTGAGCCCTGCTTGGGCCATTCTCATTGGCTACAATATTCCTGACTAGTGACCTATGTCTTCTAACATACTTTTCCTCTTCCTTCCTTCCTTCCTTCCAGGTACAGAAGTTAAGCTGCAGAGAGAGGCCAACTGGGCATTGTGGGAGAACTATGGAACAGAACTAAGGGGGCATTTCCAAGCATGCAGGGGTCACCAAAGTGGGGACAAGGGGAGCTCAACACATCTGGACTTGGGTCTAGCTCTGTTACTGCCAAAAATGGGCTACATGACTCTCTGAGCCTGAGTACTCATCAGTTGCTTGGAAGAGGGCTTTCCCTGTCCAAGGAGGGACAATCAGTATGACAGTATCCTTTGGCCTGCAAAAAGAAATGATTATCTGTGAGGCACTTATTTTGGGGGGTCCAATCGTGGGGCCTGAACTCTGGGCCTGGGCGCTGTCCCTCAGCTCTTCAGCTCAAGGCTAGTGCTCTAACATTTGAGCCACAGCACCACTTCTGGCTTTTTCTGCTTATGTGGTGCTGAGGAATCGAACCCAGGGCCTCATGCATGCAAGGCAAGCACTCTACCACTG